AGGGAGACCGTACCGGGTAAGTAGTTTGAATTAAGTAGTTCGGGGGGGGGAGGTGGGAGGGAGACCAGAGACTGCGCGCGTGGGCCATGCCTTCCACGGTCCATGCAGACACCTGTGCAGGTGCGAGCACGTGCCATGCCACCCTTGGGCAGGTGGCTCGAGCTGCGTGACACCCAGGGGCCATGGCCCAATAGGCACATACGTGTGTGAAGAGACCTGACATGCTCCCGACCCCGGGGTGGGACCCAGCAGGATGCTTTCCCTTCACATGTCCCCTCTACACAGAGGCAGGGGACATCTCCCTCCTCCCCCGCCACGCTGGCCACACTATACACGGCACAGGGACATGGGTGCGGTCTTGGGGCAGCTCCCAGTCCCGGGGAGAGCCAGACATCCTGACCATGGCCTCTGTACAAGCACAGCGGCTCTGACGGTGCAGGGCATGGTCGCCCTCATGTCGCAGGGGGAGGGGGGGGATGGGGACTGAGCATCATCCGCTGTGTCCCCAGGGAGAACTGACCACTTCTCTTCTTTCTCTACAGCTGCACCAGCTGCTTGTGCAGGGCGCACCACCCTGCCCGGGACATGCTCCCGTACCTGCGGCCTGCTCTGGACCACCATCACGGAGCATGAGTACTGGGACCAGCACCTGGGGTCCTTGCGAGCCGTGCACCGCACAGTGGAGGCCTGGATGCGGGCAGACCTCCAGCTCCGCCAGGAGCAGCTGGCTGAGGTCCAAGGGCTGAACTCAAACCTGCAGGCCCTGCTGCAGAGCATGGTGCCCCGTGCTGGTCCTGCGCCTGCTGCCCCCCCAACTACTGTCCCTCCTCCCACTCCTGCCCCCCCACCTCTTCCTCCTCAACCCCCACACCCTCTTCCTCAATGTCCACACCCCCCACCTGTGCTGTTTAATCAGTTAACTGATTAACTAGGATTTTGCATCCCTAGCCAAAGGCCTATCTAATGTAGTACCCTGTCTCTGCCAGTGACAAGTATGAGTTGCTTCCTCTTAAGTATCTAGAGCCCTGCAGCAGGAAGTTATGGGATCATCTGCTCCAGGAAATGTATTTCCTATCCCCAGTGATTACAGGTTAGCTTGTCATGGCATTTAACTATGTGCCAGAAACATTCTATTGTTTCAATGCTAGGAAGCCAAGATACTGAACCACTGTCTCACCTACTCATCTTGGAAGGAGGCTCTGTACAGAGTAAGGAACAATGAACTGGGTTGGCTCTGCGGGCTCCTCAGGGTGGAAGCTCTCCTGAAGCCCCTCAATTGACCCCCCCCCCTCCGGATGGCAGCCTGCGGCAAGTGCAGCCGGGCTGGTGGCCGAGTGCTGTGATGTGCCGAGTGTGGGCACTCAGGACACTCCAAGCCAGAATTGCTTTGCAAGCGGGGAACCCCTGAGAACTGTCTGTCCGGGGTGGGGGTCGGGTCCCTTTAAGCACAGCCCTCGGCTAGCCTGAGACAGCAGCTCCACGCTCTAAGTCCTAACCTGATGCCCTGCTGGCACTGCTTCCAGCCATCCTTAACCTCGGTTCAGGGTCCACTCAGTGTGGACATGCTAGTTCGAATTAGCAAAACACTAATTCGAACTAGTTTTTAAGTCTAGATGCACTAATTCGAATTAGCTTAGTTCGAATTAACTAATTCGAATTAAGTTAGTTCGAATTAGTGCTGTAGTGTAGACATACCCTATCATAGTTATCGACAGTCTCGTAAGAATTTAACAACTGCCATAGCGAGTCACGAGGAGTAACGGTAGTTCGAACTAGGAAGCCTAGTTCGAACTACATAGTTCGTGCCCCGTGTAGCCGCGCAGCACGGGGTTCGAACCAGCGGGGTTTTAAAAATGGCGGCTCCCCGCTTATGCAAATGAAGCCCGGGAAATTCAAATCCCGGGCTTCATTTGCAAGTGCGGTATGCCTACATTACCCTCCTAGTTCAAACTAGCGGGGTAGTGTAGACATACCCACAGTGACTAGTGCCAGGAGCCCCAGAGGGAAGGAACATACTTGTAGCAATCTTCAGAATGTTTTGAATACAACTTTGTGATGGAAAGCAAAAGTATGCTATAAAGATCTTTTTGGAAATTTGAAACTGAAATCTATTGCTCTCTAATTTCTCTTTCACCAGTACATTTATGTTGTTATGAGAGAACGGCCTATGGGCATTGTGATGCTGCCAGTTATTCATGTTACTTTTGAAAGAATGTTGGAAGCATGTTTTCAAACATACAACTTGGAAGCCATGCCCTGCTCTCCCCAGCTACTCATATGCTCACTGTAGCCCCTGTGCACACACATACTCCTGGCCTGGGTGGTGTTCATCCACCAGAAGCAGAACCCAAGCCAGCTCATTTCCTCTTTCTGAATACTATTCCAGGAACCCCCAAGGGAGCTCCTGGCCTACTGCTACCCTCCTCCCTGGCCTACAGCTGCTCCAGGGGGGACCTTGCTTGGGCCAGTGGCTCCCCCATCCTATAGCCTGTTAGCAGAGTGCACTCTGCAGGCTAGCCACCGCCTCCTGCCTCCTGACCTTCCTGCAGCTGCACTCAGGGGGATGGCTCTTCAAGGGCTAACTCCAGCCTCCAGCAGCCCCCTCCATCCTGCAGGAGGCACTCTGAGGGGCTGGCCAGGGTCTGTGGGCTACCCCTGGCCTGCAGGCCATCTGGGAGGACTAGGCTCTGAGGGATTCCCTGGCCTCCAGTGGTTCCCCATGGCCTGCAGGCTGTTGAAGTGGAGGCAAGGCTCTGGGAGTTGCCACCAGCTTCAGTGACCCCCCCTGCACTCTACAGGTTTGGAGGGGTTGAGTCTCTAGGGACTGCCCCCCTCATAATCCTCCTGCAGCCTGCAGGATGTTGAGGGCGGGGGGTAGGGGACCAGGTGCCAGGGGCTGACCCCAGCTTCCAGTAGTTCCTCTCGTCTCTCTCCCACCACCCACAGCCTGCAGGGTCTCCATGTGGGAAGATTGCGGTAGCTTAGTCCTGCTGGCCTTTCTCTTTGTGCTGTAGCTACCCCAGTGGCCACTCTCAGAATCATAGAATCATAGGACTGGAAGAGACCTCAGGAGGTCATTGAGTTCAACCCCCACCCAAAGCAGGACCAATCCCAACTAAACCAACCAAGCCAGGGCTTTGTCAAGCCAAGACTTAAAAACCCCGAGGGATAGAGATTCCACCACTGCCCTAGGTAACCCATTCCAGTGCTTTACCACCCTCCCAGTGAAATAGTTTTTTCCTAATATCCAACCTAGACCTCCCCCACTGTAACTTGAGACTATTGCTCCTTGCTCTGCCATCCGTCACTACTGAGAACAGCCTCTCTCCATCTTCTTTGGAACCTCTCTTTAGGAAGTTGAAGGCTGCTATCAAATCCTCCCTCACTCTTCTCATCTGCAGACTAAATAAGCCCAAATCCCTCAGCTTCTCCTTGTAGGTCATGTGCTCCAGCCCCCTAATCATTTTGGTTGCCCTCTGCTGGACCCTCTCCAATGCGTCCACATCCTTTCAGTAGTGGGGGGCCCAGAACTGGACACAATACTCCAGATGTGGCCTTACCAGTGTCAAATAAAGGGGAATAATCTCTTCTCTAGATCTGCTGGCAATACTCCTCCTAATGCAACCTAATATTCCATTTACCTTCTTGACTGCAAGGGCACATTGTTGACTTCTCATCTACTGTAATCCCCAA